GGATACTAAAAAAAGTTACACACATGTCACCTTGGGATAGATGGACCACATCTGTTATTACATCTATTTATCTGATTCCATGAAAACATTTAAAAGATGAGTGAAAGGGTTTATTGAAAAAGATAGGAAAGGTGATTAGGACTCAATAAATAAAACAAGTGGAGCTTATTTATCTAATACTTTTCTGAGTAAGAACACTGAGGGGATATGGAGCTAATTTTCTTCTGTCTTTTTCACTAATGACTTTCGTTTAGGCTTACTAATAAACCCAAATTGTCTAGCTAATGTTTTTCTATATCTTTATCCAAATGTTTTATTTGGGAAACTGTGAAACACAGACGCCAAATCAATTCAAACAAAACATAAAAATCTAGATTTGGATTCAGGCGTATCTGGTTTGAATCTCACTATAATAACATTTAATCCCACTTAATACATGGATTCAATGAGCCCTTGTAGCACAGTAGTTGAGCATTTAGTTTCTAATAGAAAGGTCAGTAGTCCAAATCCACCCGCTTCTCTTTGGAAGAAAGTTATAGCAGTTTGCTACCACAAAGACTGCAGCCTTGGAAACGAATCTGTCCTACCAGGTTACTACAAGTTGCAATAGATTCTTTGGTACACAATAGCAACCAAATGGAGTTACATCATCTACTTTACTGGATGTTGTGAGGATATGAGATATGGCTTTGAGATAACAAATAAAACTTCTAGCAGGAAGCTTAAAGTGCCCAGGAGTGGCACTCTAGTAAATTCTTAGAACATGAAGCAGTGATACACATGGAGTGGCAATCCAGTGGAATTCAGCATTTAGGGCCAATTATTTTTTATTTCTTGGACAGGGATGGCAGTCTCTTCAAGAAAATGATGCTGCAAAGTACCAACTCAAGGTTGCTTTTAAGCTAGGGAAGTATTTGCCTTTTGCAGAGAAAGCAGGCTTTATTTCAAAGTCTAGGAGATGCTGAAAATAGGAATACTTTGCTCGAAAAATTATTGGGGATTATTTGCCTGGATCTTTCAAAAGAGTACAGAAAGGTTCTTATTGAATTTTAATATTGCACGACTTTAAATAAGAACTTTTGTTATATTTTGTAGTTTATTAAAAAATATTCTTTTTACTAACATTTTATCATCCTTTTGGATATAATCAGGAAAATAAGGATGAAAATGCCTCATACTTTAATAATAAAAATTTAAAAATATAGTAAAAGTTTAGGTTTTTCTATAACAACAGAGAGGTATTGCAACAGAAGGATTGTAATGCATGTTGCTGTTGTTAAGGAACTGACTCATAGCTGACCCTCTGGTGGGTTTTCTTGGCAGTAAATCAATTGCACAGGAGGAGATTGCCCATCTTTCTCCTGTGGAGCAGCTGGTGAATTCTAACCACATGCCTTTAGGTTGACAGTGCAACTCCCTACCACTAGGCCACGTATGATTTGTATTTCTTGTGGGAAAATAGGACCAACATTCAGAAATGATTTTGCAAATGGCTAAATCCTTTAGCACAGAGCCCATGTTTCAGCTTCGATTTCATCCCACTAACTGACATAGCAGATAATTATAACAAGATTTGCAATGAAACTGTGCCAGATGCGCTAAAAAAGTAAACTTTGCTCCTGAGGAAAAGAAGTTATGATGTGAGGAGGAGACCGTAAAGAATTTGTGATCACATGACATAAGCTTTTGAAAGACCGCTGGAGGCTACCTTGGGAACCTGTGGCATTTTGATTCAAATCTATTGTAGTTCAACTAGTTTAAGCAACAATAGTGAAACTTACATTATTTAATGTTTCCTTTTTTCAGTTAGGAAAGACTAATTCAAACACTTCATTTAGTCTGCGATTTTCTTATAAATATGACTCTAAAAACACCCCCCCCACACTAAGATTGTAAATGTCACCAGAACTCTCTAATAGAGAACATATTTAAAACTGTGAGTTAGATAGTGGGTGTTTAATCATAACTTTAATACACATTTTAGAAATTTTTTTTCTGGGACATTTTCATTTTCCAGTCTGTGCCTCTGTTCTGTTTTGTTACATTTTATAATTTAAAAACCAACCAGTAACCCTTGTCATGGAGCTGACTCCAGCTGATGGTACTCTATGAATGGAGTAAAACTTTGTTCCATAGGATTTTTTCAGTGCCTGATACTTTGGGAAACAAATAGAGGTCATTTTTAGGTCTTTCACTTGAGGCAACTTGGAGTGAATGAAAATACTCCACCTCCTAGTTAGTAGCTGATAGAGTTAAATGTTTGCACTCTAGTACAGTATGTGCTACTCCAGATAAAAATATTTTAAAATCTATAATGTTTTTATTCTATATTGTGTTTTTTGTTAGTGATTCTTAGCAATCCTATGAACAATAAATAGATCTGAACCTTCTCCTATTCTGTACTATCCTCACTATCTCTGCCCTAGTCAAACCCATAGCTACAGTCACTACATCAATCCCTCTCCCTCTTTCTCTCACCCTCTCCCTTTCTCAGCATGATTTCTTTTTCCAAGGATTTCCCCCCTGACATGTCTATATTATGTGAGATGAAGTTTCACCATCCTTACTTCTAAGGAGCACTCTGATTGCACTTCCTCCCAGCTCGGTTTCTTCTTTTGACATCGTTTATTGAGTACTCTAACACCACAATTCAATACTACAATTTAAAAAATGTTATTTTATAAAAATCATGAAAATTAGTATAATATATAAGGATATAAAATTTCTATATATTTTAAACACTTTGAGATGAAATTCTACTTTAATAGTAAATTCATGAAATCTAAATATGATAAATTACAGTCGAGATCTAGTTTGAACTTAACTGAAGTAGCAAAGCTGCTTTATACAATCTATGGAGCTTTTCCTGAAAACAGCCACTCCTAATTAAAACACCTGACACCTTATACATGGAAATATAGTTGAAGGGCTAAACCTGTTAGGATAAAATGAACAGGTGAAATAGTTCAGATTTCTTTGAAAATACAGTGATTAGTAATCTCGTAATTTTATAGCTAGTGGAGGCAGCAGGTGATACCCCACTTGTCAATGCTTTCAGCGAATCAGAGGTATAAAACCACAGAAACTTAGAGCTGGAAGGAATTTAATCACCTTGACAGTGATTAGTCTAGTTGAATATTAGTTGAATAAAAGTTGATTACTGGCTCCGAAACAAGATCTTTGAAACGCCGCTATTTGTTAGGGACTTGTAAGATTTTCTGGGTCAGCATCCCATTTCTTTGTTGCAGCTTATTTTTCTTTTTTTAATTCATTCTATTAACTTTTATACAATATCCCAGTCAGAATATTTGAGATTATACATTCAATTAAGGTCGTACTCATCTTGAACTTAGTAAAAAAGAGCCGAAGAGCTTTCATATGAGGTGTAGACTAACACCTAACCAAACTCCTAAGGATACGGCTGACCTTTCAGCGCCTTGGCAGCAAAATTTTATCAAATTCCTAGAGCGTTTTATTGAAACGATCACCTTCATCTTAATGAAAATATAAAAATGCAAAACTATGCAAGCAGATACTGTTTTTTCGCGTGTGTATTTGTAGAAACCGTAGTTACCTAGTTATAAAGGTCTGTAACCCAATTCTACCTCTTGAGGGAGACATAGTCCAGCTTTTATCCGGATCTCGACTCGCTGATCTTTTTTACTGTCTTTTCCCCCCTCTGCAGGTCCAATGCTTGCTCTTCGCTGTCACTAACACAGCGAACAGAACAGGCGGTTGGGAGAGAGGCGTAGTGGGGCTGTGCCGTCAGGTCTGCTGTCCCTTTTTACTGCTTAACTCAACCTAGAGTGTGGGGACGCAGTCACTCCCCTGCACTACACAGGGAAGCGAGTCACTGTCCTCCCGACGCAGCCAGGCTGGGCGCAATAGGGAGTCTGGGTGGAAGAGGAGGTTCTGCCTTCTAAGGCGATTCATTAAAAAATACCACCAGTATCTTTGGACAGTACAGACCTTGGGTGGAACGCGGAGAAGGGATTTAGGCTGCTACAGGGCTCACTTCTAAATTTTCTTCTGGTGATCCTGGATTTGTTTCCTCGACCCCTTCCTCCCTGCCCCCTAACTCTCTACCCTAGCGAAGTGAATGTGCTCCACATTGGAATTTGCAATTTCTATTCGGTGGGGAAGGTGCTAGCGCACTGGGGACAAGGGGGCAGCGAGTTTCCCTTCTAGCTCGTGATGCCTAAAGGGGCAAGCGGCTGGGTTACGAGGGGCTCTGCCAGCAGCACTTGGAGAGGCGTTTGAGCGGCTGGAGCTGGCTTCCAGGAGCTGCTAAGTTGAAGGCGCAAAGTCGCCAGAAGCACCAGCGCAGACCTGTCTACGAACGAGAGGAGCGGCGGCTCCGGGACGGAGGAGCCCGGGAGAAGGAGACCCACCGAGGTCTGAGCCTCCTCTCCTTCCTGCCCGGAAGCTCCGCGGCAGCTGCGTGCAGTGGAGACCCCGGGATCTTCGGGAACTCGAAAGTACCAGCGGAGGTTGCTTTCCTGAAGGTGAATCACTCCGTCCAATTGCCTTTCCCGGGAGAGCAGAAGGGAGGGCGGGAGAATGTGTAAGCGTGTGTGAGAGGCAGAGAGACAACGTGAGGCGAGAGGAAAAGTCTTTACTCGGCATTAAAAGCAAACAAATCAGAGATGGAATAAGAGCGGTAATTGCTGCCAGACCGCCTTCATTCCCGCGGCCAGGGGAGCTGGTCACACCGCGCGCGTCCGGCGAGGACTGCGGGGCCACGCGAGGCGCGGCCAAGGGCTGCAGGACTTTGGCTTTTCATCAGTAAACCAACCTTTTGATTACTTTGACACTGTGGAATAAAGAGAGGGGCAAAGGGACCGGGGGAGCGCACTCCACCCTTCCACCTGCTTTGGGAGCGATTCCAGTTTGGATGTGAAGAGATTCCCGAGAACCTCCTTTTTTTGGCCATCGAAGAAGGAAACACACACACAAGCAAGCGCGCACACACGCACGCCTAGGGCCACCCTCCACGCCAGCACACACCACCAGACTTCTGGTCCCTATGCCCCTGGATGGTGACGGCGGATTGGCATCTCGGAAGCAATGCAAGAGCGGTAAGGCTGGCGCGGGTCCGCGGAAGCTGCAGGAGCATCGCTAGGTGTTGCCGCCACCGGGAAGCCGGGCTGCAGGTAGGTGCGAGCCGCGCCTTCGGCCGCCGCTGGCGCGGGGGGCTCCGGCGGCCGCGGGAGGAGCGGAGACCTGGGCAGCCCCGGGGCGCACGCGTCTCCTCTCCGCTTCCCCTGGGGGCCTGGGCTGGAGGGCAGGGCAAGAGGTGCGGGCTGGGCACCCAGCGTCTCCCATGCAGGCGGTCCGAGGAGGGGCGGGGTAGGGGGACGCAGAGGGGGTGCAGAGCACGCCAAGGAGCTTCTGTGCGCCTTCCCCTCCCACCTCTTTGGGTTCCAGTTCTCCACCCCTGCGAGCGACCCGGTATAGGACTGAAGTGGGGTTTTAACTCGATCCCTCAACCAGACCAATCCAGGCTGGTAACCATTTTGGACTCTCCCGAAGAACGAGTTAGGATGGTGTTTCAGGGGATCAGTGCGATGTGTCAGGTCGCCCTTCTGAAATCCCTACTTTCTGTCCACTTTTGATTAGTTAATTTCCAGGCCTGTGCAAAGGGTGGGCGTTTCGACGAGATTGTTGAGACTCCTTCCCTCCCAAACCCCTTTTAACTATTTTCCTAAAAATTATGTTGGTCAATTCCCGAGCTGAGTTTTAAAGGTTTATTTATATTTGAGGACGGACGCTTTATTACTGAATGATTCACCACAAAGCTTTAGTAAAGATTGTTTTCCGAAGACAGAGAGAGAGCGAGAGAGAGAGAGAGAGAAAGAGAAAGAGAGAGAGAGAGAGAGAGAGAGAGAGAGAGAGAGAGAGAGAGAACACCATAGGGAAATGAGAGCGTGTTCATGTCTCTTTTCCAAATCTTACTAGTGGTCCATGGTTTGTGTGCCCTTGTTTTGCTGTCTTTTATCCCTTCTATTCCAAAAGGCCACTTTCCTACTTCAGGCTACCGACTTTCACCCATCAGTGGGAACGTGTTTCTAGAAGCTGCTTTGCAAAGGAAACTTTGGAGTCATCATCCTGTTTCAAATATCCATCCTAGAACTGTAGGGTGAGTTATCCAGTCAGGCTCCACTCCAAAAGGACGAGCCATGGGCTCCCGCAGAGCCCCGGGCAGATGCGTTGATTTGTCTGTTCAGTATTCCAGTTCCTGACCCGTGGGAAACAAGTGCGCCTGGCATCAGATGGATAATTAGTCACTACAGTGGCTAGTCTCTCTCCTCCTTGGGTGGAGTTTGGCTTGTGGCAAGTGAGACAGAAAAGACAATAAAGCTCCTTTTGTGACTGTGAAATACCTTTTGATTTTTAGAAAATTGTACTTGAAATCCATTCTCCCCAAGACAAAACACCCCCAACCTCCAAAGAGACCTCAACTCATAGGCAACCTTTACTCTGAAGAGTTTCCCAGAGCCCTTGGTGCATAAGGGTCCTCTTCCATAGGGTAGAAAGAATGTACATCAGTACTGACTGAAGGTGAAGGATCTGGTTCCTGCCTGCCCTACTGAATTGCTTCAGACATCAGCATTCAGACAATTATCAATTAACACATTAAAGTTGCTCTACAAGACAGTATGTTAAAACAAATGAGTGATTAATTTAAAATTCTGTGCAAAGTGCGAAATTACAATAACTAGCCAAGGAGATTAAAATAACTTCTGAAGCCTTTTAAGAACTAGAGTATTAAGGTTTTATGTATTTTCCAGCGTTAAAGGTTGGCACATGATCTCCCTTGCTGCTGATTTTTTTTCTTTTTTACCATTTCAAAACTGACATCTAGAATTTATATTTTTTTAAAAAATCAGACATTTTTAATGTCCCTACTTTATTCAGGTTTTTTTCTGTGTCAATTATTTGGATTGTGATCTTTTTTGGAATCCTAGATTTTAAAATCAAAAGGCCATTAATAGCAACATTAGAATACACTTTCTTTTCATTCTTTTAATTTTCAATGAAAAAAAGTAGTTTCTATTATTGATAAGTATAATATTGTGAAAGTAGTGTCACCATCTACCACATATTTAGGTATAGAGTCTCTTCTAAGAGGCAATATACAGGTTTAGATATTGCCTGATTTAAATTAAGCTTTTTTTTTTTGTTTTTTTTTAAATTAAGCTTTTTTTTTTTGTTTTAGTTGAAAATATTGTTTCTGTAATACTCAACTTTGGAGATTCATGTATTTCCTTTTTCCAAAAAGAAACTTACTAGCTTAAGATGCTTGAACTTAAATATTTACAGATAGTGCTATGCTTTATGCCTCTTAAGGAAGAACCAAACGCCTTGACATGAAAGCAAACACCTGTAATACTCCAAGTTGTTCTAGGAGAGAACATAAGGTTTGTGCGTTTGGATCTGTAAAATACTAAGCTCCTTCAACAATGACAAACTGGACAATATGGATTCGTTGAGATGGCCCTGAAATGATGTCAAGATTGTCTCTATTACCTAGTGACTGCTTTATAATATTTACAAACCACTAAATTTTAAAATGTGATGACAGGGCTGTAAAAAGATCTGTTTTTAGATGTGGCCACTTTTCCTTTTTAAAAATTTATGAAATAATGAGACTTAGGATGTGTTAGAAGAATTGATAAAAAAATTATTTTATGTCATAAAATTTTAGTGGTCTTGGATCTTTAATATTGTAGTTTAAAATGTGTTTTTGACTATTCAGATGTTCAGAGTGTATTTTAAGGTTAATTTATCGCTAATTGCTGGTTAGGAATGACCCTATGTAGGTAGAGTAAGATCTGTCTCTCCAGCATTTCCCAGACATCTCTTCGCATGCCCACTAAGAAAAGGCACTGTTGGATTCTGTCCAAGTTCAGCTCTGTCTGCAAGCTGATGAACATTTGCTTCTCTATTACATGTCCGAGCTAGGAATGTCCCAAAATGCCATCAATTATTTCTAATAATATTTGAAAATATGGAACAACCAGAATGCAAGTGGTTCGGTGCTCCAGCTTTTACTTGTGCAGTATTTTATTAGGGATGCCTCATTAAGTCACATTATTCTGCAGCTGTTTTGTTCATTGAAAATTCAAGTAAAAAATAAGAAACTTTACTGTGCAATGCAGTTTGTTTTCTTGGTTAAAAACCATAAATTGAAGGAGAATAAGCATCCAACATAGTATCCTTTGATCTATGGCTGACATTTACAAATGCAATTCATCAACCTGTTATTAGTAGGGTTCCATGAAAACAAAGAGAAGAAACACATGAACACAGCCTGTGCTAGTTATGAAGCCCAGACCAGCTGAATCAGCCTCATAAACTGGCCCTCTTGCTTGTATAATAGTTCACATTATATAGTTTGCTTATGAAAAACCCAAATTTTGTAATCCTGTGATGATGGATTTGCCATCTTGCTTGGAAATTCTTTGGTTAACTTTATTTTGAAGTATTTGGAGCATATGAAATGATTGCTTTAATTATTCTACTGTAAGAGAAGCAATTCTTTCATGAGGGTTTGTTTTTTTTTTAAAAGAACAGTTTTACTCTTGGAGCACAGTCTGAAAAAGAGGCCTAAAAATTAGTTTCTGTTTCTTGGCTGTCATTACCATTCACTTATTGGATAATTTTTAGAAGGTGTCATTCTCTTTATGTGGTGTCTTATCAATGAAATAATACTAAGAATTCTTTTCTCCTACTTTTTCTTTTACAGAAATTTTGAGAGGGATGCGTAGACTTACTGGAATTTGAAGAAAAGTGTTTAAATACAGCTTGCACACAAATACATCAATATGCTGTTAATGAAACCATGTATAACATGAATTTTGTAGAAAAGGGCAAGAATAATTATAAAATGTCCACATTAATAGCTTTTTAAACTACTTTACATGATTTGACCTACAGTGCAATAAGATCCTTTAGAACTGAATTTTATATTTTGAGCCACCATTACATATAGTATATATTTTTCTTTTCCCCAGTTTCCTTTTGATGATATTTACTTGCTAAGGTAAAAAATGCAGGAAAGTCAATTGTGCTTTCTATGAAAGGACATTTTGGGATATGTTTATTGACACCATGACTAGAGATTTTGACATATTATAAACACTGAGTATATCTGGATGGTGGACTTACTAAATATGTGCCTGCACAGTAAATATGCAAATCATGCATTCATTAGTACATACTATTCTTGTTTACAAGTGGTATCTACATATTCTTCAGAAACATAACTGATACTGTGTTCCAGATTTATGTTAGATTTCCAAAGCCCACCCACTTCCAATATGTAAAAATCACGTGTATGTTGGATTTCATCCTGTGTTGTAATGGCAGGCTAGTCAATAAATGGAATCAGTACCTATCAGGCCTTTTTAGGCAACTGATTTTTATTGCCATTGGAAAATTTAACTTCCAGTTTAGTTGGGATTTAGATGAATAGTGAATATGTCAACATTAAGGAGAATAATTCATTTTGTCCACAGTGATCCAGATAAGGTATGAGATGTAACCAAGGAATCAGCAATTACATACTTAAATTAAATTAAATTCCTTTAATCACTTCCTTCAATCTCTTAAATTACTTCATAGTAGCTGTAATTGTTTTATGATTTCCCCTGAATGACCAGTTAGTGTAAGGTACATCTCCCTTTCCCCAAGCAGTAGTGCAAATGTGTAGCTATTTGAATTTATATTTCTAATGCTTCTTTTATACAGGAGATTTTTAGAAACCCTATACGGAGAGATTCAATGATGTGATAATGCTGTATTCTAGCAATTACGGTGATAGGCTGAAGTTAGTACTTTGACAAAATGGGACAATCACTCAACAAGTCTCTTTTGCTGTTTTATCTCTGTGTGCACTCCACATGAAGCTTGGTGAGTTCAAAGTGGCCTTTGATGAATACCAGTTTACTTTCCCAAATATTTTTATGTTTTTATTGCTATAAACTAGTCACTATAATTGCCTGCATATGAATGGGCAACTGTGTTGACCTTTAAAGGTCATGCAAAGACGTTAAACCTTTCAGTACACAGTGTTAATTGCTTATGGCCTCCTGTAAGCTGCATATGGAGCTGAGTTTAGTACAATGGAGTAGTACTTTGAGTTGCTTTG